GGAGTACGGGAGCCTAATATTCCTCGAGAGTTGCTCGAGATACGTGATTAATCTCTCCTCGAGCTTCACACTTCTGAAATATCGTTGCTCGAGATTCGCGATCAACTCTCGCCGCATCACGATTCTCGAGTTTCAAATAAAGTTGCTCATGGCAAGGGCACTATTCATACCCTCGAATTGGTTCCTCGAGGTCGATTGTCTATTATTCCTCGAGTTCCTAAAATTATGGTTTAAGCATGTACTGTTCATACCCGCGAACTGGTTCCTCGAGGTCGATTGTCTATTATTCCTCGACTTACTAACATTATGAATTGAGCATTTACTGTTCATACCCTCGAATTGGTTCCTCGAGGTCGATTGTCTATTATTCCTCGAGTTCCTAACATTATGATTTGAGCATTTACCGTTCATACCCTTGAATTGGTCTTCGAGGTCGATTGTTTATTATTCCTCGAGTTCCTAACATTATGATTTAAGCATTTACTGTTCATACCCTCGAATTGGTTCCTCGAGGTTGATTGTCTATTATTCCTCGAGTTCCTAAAATTATGATTTGAGCATGTACCGTTTGTACCCTCAAATTGGTTCCTCGAGGTCCATTGTCTATTATTCCTCGAGTTCCTAACATTATGATTTAAGCATTTACTGTTCATACCCTTGAATTGGTTCCTCGAGGTTGATTGTCTATTATTCCTCGAGTTCCTAAAATTATGATTTGAGCATGTACCGTTTGTACCCTCAAATTGGTTCCTCGAGGTCCATTGTCTATTATTCCTCGAGTTCCTAACATTATGATTTAAGCATTTACTGTTCATACCCTTGAATTGGTTCCTCGAGGTTGATTGTCTATTATTCCTCGAGTTCCTAAAATTATGATTTGAGCATGTACCGTTTGTACCCTCAAATTGGTTCCTCGAGGTCCATTGTCTATTATTCCTCGAGTTCCTAACATTATGATTTAAGCATTTACTGTTCATACCCTTGAATTGGTTCCTCGAGGTTGATTGTCTATTATTCCTCGAGTTCCTAAAATTATGATTTGAGCATGTACCGTTTGTACCCTCAAATTGGTTCCTCGAGGTCCATTGTCTATTATTCCTCGAGTTCCTAACATTATGATTTAAGCATTTACTGTTCATACCCTTGAATTGGTTCCTCGAGGTTGATTGTCTATTATTCCTCGAGTTCCTAAAATTATGATTTGAGCATGTACCGTTTGTACCCTCAAATTGGTTCCTCGAGGTCCATTGTCTATTATTCCTCGAGTTCCTAACATTATGATTTGAGCATGTACTGTGCGTACCCTCAAATTGGTTCCTCGAGGTCGATTGTCTATTATTCCTCGAGTTTCTAACATTATGATTTAAGCATTTACCGTTCATACCCTCGAATTGGTTCCTCGAGGTCGATTGTCTATTATTCCTCGAGTTCCTAACATTATGATTTGAGCATGTACTGTTTGTACCCTCAAATTGGTTCCTCGAGGTCGATTGTCTATTATTCCTCGAGTTCCTAACATTATGATTTGTGCATTTACTATTTGTACCCTCGAATTAGTTTCTCGAGGTCGATTGTCTATTATTCCTCGAGTTCCTAACATTATGATTTAAGCATTTATCGTTCATACCCTTGAATTGGTTCCTCGAGGTCGATTGTCTATTATTCCTCGAGTTCCTAACATTATGATTTAAGCATTTAACATTTATACCCTCGAATTGGTTCCTAGATGTCGATTGTCTATTACTCCTCGAGTTCTTAACATTATGATTTAGGTATGTACTATTCGTATCCTCGAATGAGTTCCTCAAGGTGCAGTTAATAAACCAGAAGAAAGTATTAATTCAAAAATAACTTCCTAATGAGCCCATATTCAGGCAATGTACTTGTAAAACAAAATGAGCATTGTTTGAGCTCTGATCGAGCAATAAACACAAAAATTGTAGCTGATCAAATGGAGGGAATGGGGGTATTCTAGTCAAGGTCCTTAGTCGGGGGCCTGGACACTTCATCTGCATCATCGCCCTCTTTCTCGGCCTCTTCCTCGACCATGGTGCCCTCGGATAAGGAGAGCTCAAACCTGTCAATAACCTCGGGAAAAGGTGTAAAGTCATTGGAGTTGACGTCGGGTAGTTTGGAACGAAGAAAAGCCCAGGCTTGTTTGAAGGCAAAATTGTAAGACCCAAGAGCATACTCGCCCTTCATTAACCTAAACTCCTCTGATTTCTTGAAGTCATCGCCTTTGCTCGAGCCTCATCGAGCTTCACTTCTAATTCCTTCGTTCTTTGATCAAGTTTAGTCTTGGCCTCTTCAGCTTCATCCTTGGCCACCACAACCTCATCCCGAGCTTGACGCAAACTTGTCTTCAGCTCACCGTTCTCCGTAGTTCGCTGAGCTGCTTCAGCCTCGAGCTCGATGATCTATTGAACTCGACGATCCAGCTCAGCCTCGAGCGTGGCCACCTTTTCAGCCTCATCACCATTGAGTATGGGGCTTGATGTACCTTGAAGGTGAATGACTCGACCAGCTTCATCCCCTTACTGACATTCTGGCCATCTCCTCTGAACTTCTCAAAAAGGTCGGACACGAGTGTGCACCTTTCGAGCCCTCCCACTGAAGATGGGAGGACAGTGACGTCCTCATCGAACTCGAGGACCGCTGTCGTCGTCCTCGGAACTTCATGTCGAGGTATCGAGGCGATGGGTGTGGTCACCCTTTGGGACGAAGCCTCTTCCCCGATCCTGGAGGCTTCACCAGGGGCCCTCCTAGCCGCCTCGGGGGTGTGCTACCGGGGCCTCTTCTTTCCTTTTTTCCCGGCCTGCTTGGTCGAGGCATTCTTCTATTTTTGTTGTACGGCGCTACGCAAGTCGGTAGGGTCAAAGGCCATTTTGAACTCTACATAAAGCAAAAGGAAATACATGTCATTAGATCTAGGAGTCCAAAATTGAACACTGAGATAAAACTATGGTTAAGAAGCCCCCTTAACCTGAACACTTTTCACATTAGCAAGGTCGAGGATATCATCCCCGACCAACTCATCTAACTTGAACGATAGAGGTTCGAGCTCGACCAGGCATTGCCTATCCCTCTCTAGCACCTCAAAATAGGCTTGACCCTCATTAAAATACTCTTGTTCAGTATAGTCCACCGAGGACTGAAGGGATGGTCAGCGTCTTAGGGACAAATAAAAAAGAACTTAGATTTCCACCCTTTGAGGGAGCTCGAATACCTCGGGACTTTAAACTCATCCTGGGAAGATAAATATACAAAGCAGTTGAAGCCCGGGAGTGTCTTCAGTTCGAAGACCATCCTGAGCAGATCTAACCTAGGGTTTATACCTAAATACCTACAAGCTATGAAAAAATAAATAAGTAGCCTCCACCCATTGGGGACTACCTGCCCGGGACACATATCGAACTCGACGAGGAATTCAACAAAGAATGGGTGGACATGCCATCTAAGCCCCCCTTTAAAGCTTCCCTAAAAATGACTATCTCCCCCTCCTGAGCAGTAGTTACTCTGTCGTGGGGCCCAGTATCCCGGACATAACATGCTGGCATTATCCCAAATTCTAAAGCTATCCCAACTACCTTGTGTTCCTTATACCTACATCTAAGGTTGGGAAACAAAAGCATGGGCTGATTACCTATGGGAACTGCATATGGAATTATGGAATGACCTTCATCGTCTGGCGATGAACTCGAGCCCGACGAGCTACTAGCACTAGGCATTTATATATATATATAAAAACTAAATGTCACTAGGTCTTACCTTACGTCTAAACCCGAGGTGGTCCGAAGAGTATTTGGAGAGTGAAATGTGCCAAATGAGGTAGGGTAATGAGGTATTTATAGGGCCCTGAGAAGGCCAAAGGTCTCTCAATCCTGGCCCTCCATCCCATGCCATGTCGCATTCATCCGCCCAGGGTAATTATGGGCTCGATTGTCGAGGCCACATGGCAAGCTTTCACTTGCCCAGCTGTCTCCTCATGATCCAAACTACGACGACCCTAGATGGCTATCCAGTCCATTTGTGAAAGCTGAGCAGCCCCATTCAAGGGGCTGCACATCCCTATTCCCATGGCTGTACAACCCTACTTTAAAGGCTGAGCAGCCTATTTTCAAGGCTGTTCAGTCCTATTCCAATGGTCATGCAGCCCTATCGCAGAGGCTGAGCAGCCTATTTGCAAGGCTGTTCATTCCTATCCACATGGATGTGCATCCCTACTTCAAAGGCTGAACAGCCTATTTCCAAGGCTGCCCAATCATATTCCCATGGTTGTGCAGCCACACTTTAAAGGCTGTACAGCCCCTTCTTCAAGGCTGAGCAGTCATTCTTAAAGGTTCTTCAGCCCCCATCAAAGACCGCTCAGTAATACTCCCGAGGTTTGTCCCCAACATTATGACGATGTGCATCCAGTCCCAAATCCTCGGTCATGAGCCTCTGGTACGGATGCACGGGGGCCAGTGATGATCCCAATATTGGAGAGTACCCCGACCAGGTATCCCGATGAGGTAAGGGCCCATTTTATGGGACTCCCCATGATCTTCTCGAGGTTATCCCTCCTCGAGCTCAGGAACCCATGATTTTCTCTATGACAGGGCTGGTCCTGCCCCCAGTTGGAAAGTCTTATTATCGTAATACCCCATTCTAAAAAGACTCTACCACAAGAATTCTATCCTAATCCAAACGCGTGGGCAATACCAAACCAACTACATTGCAACTTCCAGTTGCACTAGGACTCCTAGATTTCTCAACATTGTAGTCCTACTAGGAGTCCTCCACCTACCTCTATAAATACATCATTCTCATCAGTTATCAAGGTATGTTTTTCCCACAATATTACAACATAAACTATTTTCATAAATTCTCTTTCTAACTTAAGCATCAGAGGGGCGACGAGGACCCACCTTGACGACTTTGTTTCAGGTACAGAAAGACCACGTTCGTGCTCATTTTCAGTCGTCAAGCTCGAAAGTCGACAGTTACGATTTTTGGTAGCATCAATTTTCATTTTCTGTGATACTTGCCTCTATTTTGATTTCCTGCAATGAGTTAATCAAGCTGGAAGCTATTGCAGCTTTTAAATCATCGTCTTCATTGTCTGACAATATTTCTGGTTGTCCATGCCCCGGACTTGATCTCGAAGCCGAGTTACAAGACTTGGTAATCCTGTCGGCGTCTTCAGGTGACAACCACTGCCCATAACCATTGTAGGCTTCAGAGAATTTGATGGGGGCATTCCTTTGGGAAATTTCCCTTCACCAAGAAATGCTCCAGCCAAAGCCTTTCAAAGAGTCGAGGTAGGCTGAAAGGTAAAACTTGGAGAGGTGCTCGGGAGCTGCAAAGAGGCTGTCAAAAATATACCACTCTTCATTAACTTTCCTTATACAAAACCAATGGTCCGCAAATGACAAATAAATGCATTCTCCAATTCTGGGTCGATCTGAGCAGGTTCCGCAACAAGGTCGTTAAGGGGAATGACTTGCAAGTCCCACACCTCCAAAGCCTTTTCCAATACCTGCAATCCAAAATTTAAAGTTACAAAAGGTCCTCCAGAGACATCTGCTAAATTTACCCAAGAACAAACAGATGACTTTGAGGGTCCCAGGCATTACAAAAGCTTTTATATGAAAAAGTACCAAAAGTAAAACGTTGAAAATTTATATTTCCTCAATAGAACAAGTTCTCTGTCTATCCATTAGTACACTAAGGGCTTGTTTGAATCTCATTTTTGGTGTAAAATATATTTTGGAATAGTAGGTTGAAGGAAAATGTGCGATTAGAAAATAAGGAAAAATTTTGGAATTGCGAGTAATATTATTTTATTGAAGAATGCGTGATTGAAAAAAAGAGAAAAAAAATGTATTTTAGAAAAAATGAAAATCAAACAAGGGCTGAATAAAGCATCAAGAACCGTACTTTACATCGACAAGCAACGAAACAGTGTTTGATAAAATCAAGGCATTCGGTGGAGATAAGAAATCTGACCTAAGACTTCTCATAACTCAAAGAGAATACACATCGACCATCGTAATCCTGCATCAGTATTCTTTCGTAAAGATAAACTCGTCTCTCAATCCAATCACCTTCTATCTTTCACTCCAAATTGATCCATTGTTTTATTTAATTGAGACCAACATCACCATGAACTAATCACGAATGACTAGCCCGAGTTAATGAACCCATCCTCTCTCTTTTTATTACTAGTGTTTATTATAGGATTTTGCTTAGGACTACGTTGGCTTTTTCCAAATGGAAATGTGAATTTTGAAATCAAGGGTAGCCAAATTTTGCATTGGTTTAGTATGTTCTCTACGTTTGTAAATTTTTAGGCTCTTTAGAAGTTAATAGAATACTTAAAAATCAGAGTTATGAACACCCTTACTCTTTAGAAATCAATAGAATACTATTCTTGTACACCAGTCATTAGGAATCTATATAATGAGAGGAGACAGAGAAAATTTGGACTCGAACATGACTCAAATTGTTATTATATATTTACTTAATAGTGAAATCATTAAGTCCAATACTTTTGTCATGTCTCCAAACTCAAAATTCTTAACTTCGGCACCTTGTATAAATAATTGATAGATTACAATATTTTAAAAGGTTAAACATTTTAAAATCATGTTCGGGGCGTTCGGGCAAATCAATTCAATTACTAGGCAGAAAATCATAGCGAAAGCATTGTTAGGTTAAGTCGAGTAATGCTATTTTGCATTACTGACATTACAATATCCGTCTAGGTGTTACTAAGTAACAGTAAATGATATATACGATTAAATGAGTTACATAATTCTAAAGTGAATACATAGCATAATATCATCTAAACTGGTGTCGTAGTATCGATGATGTTAAATAGTACTATATGATGAGATAGTGAGAGTAGCGGGTTAGTCAACAGTCACATATCAGTGGGCTGTACGCCAATCATGAATGCGTTTGCTAGGCACCAAACTGAAACAATTCAACACGGAGAATCTTCCTTAGGGGTAGGTGTTTGATGCACATTTTTTGAAAAAGAATACATTTTATGATGTTATGTAATGAAAAATATGTGTTTAAAAAAAAAAGGAAAAAGTTTTGAATTTGCAGGTAATATTATTTAATTGAAAAATGTGTAATTGAAAATGAATTTTGAAAGAATGAATTTTGAAAGAATAAATTTTGAAAATAATGTTGATCAAACAGGGACTTAATGTGAATTTGACATTTCCTTTCCTTCCTTTGAGTTGTTAAATGTTTCTTTTTGGATCAATAATTTATAACACTTTCCAGTTCATTTCTTTTTTCCTTTGCATATTGGTGACTAAAAATAAAAAAATAATAACAATATAAAGAGGTCTTTTTAGATAGATACGTTTGTCGGACAACAAAAACTTATGTCTCATTTTTATGTAAATAAATTACAGAAAATATGGCTTCATTTACAAAGTTGTATATGTTAAGGTAAAATCTTACTTCAGCTGATTACGAAACAATCAACCTATAAGGACTGACATGTCACTTGAATATGAGCAGTCGAACATACAAAGAGGTGATTATTTCTTTTAATAAAGTTGACCTTTTAAAATAGAACCTCAAGTAAAATTCGAGAAATTTAAATGAGCAATTTAATTTTTTTAAAATTCAAATCCTCCCAACAAATTTGTTTCAAATATTACTTTTACATCACTTAAGAAATATTTCATAATAATATCAAATGTACGTTCAATTCTAACTAGTATGCAATATACGAGAAAACATTTTAACAATAAATAAAAATTATTATTATAAAAAATTATACAAAAAAATGTTTCAACAATGATTTATGAAAGTAAATTAAATCATTAGTAGGAAACAATTTTTCATTTCTCAACCATACACTCACTTGATTTTTTGATTTACATTCATTTCATATTAATAAAATTAGTTAAATTTTATAGCACGATTACTTCTATAGATTAAAATAGACAAAAAAGTAAAATTAAAACTAAGCGCACAAAAAAAAAAAAAAATTGTGTGATGCCACGTCGAAGTGAGAAAGAGAATTCACCATCAATCTTAAACCCTCTAGAAGGTGTGAATACGTGAGGATAATCGATTTCGCATTTTGTCGTTATAATTTTTGATCTAGGGCCTGTTTGGGTCGAATTAAAATATGATTTTAATTTAAGTCAAAGTCAAACAATTAATATTAACCACATCTTTCATGATTCCCACATCTTTTCAACCACACATTTCAAAAACTTCTATCATAATCCACTAAAAATCTAATTTTAATCTCCATCAAACACCCTCCTATAGTCAACAATACCATCAACATTCATCAATTTATATTAAAGCAATTTATAGTAAACATAATTAAGTTCTTCTCTATTAAATAAAATTATTACTAATTATGAATATTATTGCTTTTAAAAATAAAATAATAGTACTATAATCATATTGTTAACCTTCAAAGCATTATCATATGCAATGAAAAGTGTATAAACGTTTGAAATCATTATTATACAATTAAAAATTTATTATTATGTACAATAAAAAGGTTTTGGCATTGATTTTTTTTTAAAAAAGTTAGGTACAGAACTTCATTGAGTTTAGCCATATAGCTTGACTTCTTGTCATTGTTGTTGCAATATATTTTACTTCAGCTATTGATAATGCAATCATTGCTTGTTTTTGTGACATCTAAGAAAATATTCATAAATTTAATGTAAATGCATAGTCCGATGTGTTTTTCAAATCGTCCACTGATTCTGTCCGGTCACTATCCGTATTTTTAGATATTATGTGGTTAAAAAATAGGAAAATGTTTTGAATTTGAGTAAATTATTTTATTTAAAAAATGTGCAGTTGAAAATGAGTTTTTAGATAATGGAGGTCAAACGGGGACTTATTATGATGGTGGAAGTATTCGAGATAATTCCTATTTTTCTATTGTCATATTAATTAATTTTGTTTAATACCTAAGGCCGGCTTGGGAGTTTTTTTCATTGATTTTGAATGGTACCGTTTATTAAGGGTTAAAAAAATCGGTGCTTCCTAATTTTTTTTTTATATCGATTTTGAGTGATTTAAAAACCACTAAAAATTGATATTGTGCAATTTTGACCAATTCTCTCAACCCATCAAATCGACGGGTTTTGACCATTTCTCATATTATATTCTAAATTTACTCTTTACAAAATAATTATTTACGACCAACATATTTTCTTCATAACTAACTTATACATAAAAATATATTAATTAAAAATTATTTATAAGCAAAAAGTTTAAATTATTATTAAAAAATACTTATATGAACAATATTACTTATAAGATAAGAAAAATTACATTATAATTAAAAATTACTTATAAGTAAAAAATACTTTAATTGTTTTTAAATAAAAATTTTACTAATAAGACAAAATTCACTTATAAAATATAAAAAATTACTTATAAGTAGAAAATTCACTTAAAATTATTTAAATATAAAATTCACTTATAATTATAAAATTCACTTATAAGTAAAAATTATTAACTTAAAATTTTAAGTAAATATTTAATTTTATTTTTAAGTTTAATATTAACTTATATGTAAAAAATTATTTATAAATAAAATATCACTTATGAGTAAAAATATTTCATATAAGAAACTATAATCTGAATTTTTTTTTACTAATGGACATATATGTAATATTGTTCTTTTAAAAAACTTTCAAAATCAATGGATGATACACTCTGGAGCATGGGTTCGACATTTTTAAGGATAGCTACTATTCACTCAAAAACTCTCAAAATTGATACTTTAAAAAATTCTCATAACTGGTACGTCGAAACTCCCAAACAGGCCCTAAGGAAATCTTTGCTCAGAGCATGTTTGATTTCAATTACTTTTAAAATATATATTTTTCTCTTCTTTTCAACTGCATATTATTCAATAAAATAATATTATACGTAAATTTAAAATTTTTTCTTATTTTTTAATCAAATAAATTTCCATCAAATTAACATTTCAAAATGTATTTTGATGAAGGAATGGGATCAAACAGATCCTTAATACCTAA